TTCTGCATAAGACAAGTAATCTGATGAAACATTCTCACCATAAAGTATTTAGAAATTAAGGTCATCATTCAAATTAATTTTTTGATTAATGTGCGATGCTGCAGATAAAATATTTAGAGGAGGTACGTCTAATTCTGTGAAAATACAAGTAGTTGTGTATTTTTTTTGTCTAGAATCTTTTTATCCAACAACAGTAAACTAAACTGCAGTGTATGGTTAAAATGTTTTGGCAGGAAATGTAATACTGCTAGCTCCTTGTTGCATTTAAATCTAATTATTTTATTAATCATAGCAAATATGGTCTTAAGACGAAAGACTATAACATTACCAACTCAAGTTGATTTTTGAAGGAGAATTTTGATCTTGCAACTCATAATCCCTTGAATCTGTATTTAAGACCATTTTATTTGTATAGCCTTAAGCAAGACTTGATCCTCCGATAATTTATAAATACAAATCTGTGATTTAAATATTAACAGATATCTTTTAGATGGAAACAATATTACTATCTGAACTCAAATTCAAAATCAGCTATTATTAAAATTTAATATTTAAAAACTAAAAAAGTAAATATAAGTATTTTTTTTGACATTTTTATAGAGTATAATTTAAATTTGTAGGTAATATGGGAATGCTATTCTATAATATAAATAGCTATCTATATCAATCCTCAAGTTATATTTAAGAGAAATTAGGTTTAAAATTGTGATGGTATTTCATAGAATTATTTATAAAAATTTACACTCATATCAAAGATTTAGTTAGATGCTAAGGAGTATGGGAGAATATCATATTGAAAGCTCATTTAATTATATTGATTTAAGTTTTGCTTTTATAGCTGGTTAGAAACTAGTTGTAAATCTATAGGCTCATTATTAATATAAGTCATTTAACCAAGCTCACAGATCTAAATTTAGAACTAAAAGTAGAAACTCAAGCTCATATATCTAATTTTTTATTTTAACAATAAATTATATTTATAAAAAATATCGATTGATTGTAAAGAAAAATTAACCTATATATTGGTGGATATAGAGATTGCTAATAAGTGATTCTTATAAATTTTTATTTTTGATAAGCTATGGTGAAGGTTTAAGTACCAGATTAGTTAACCTTAAGTAAATAGTTAAAAGATATAGTAATATTAATATTTGGAGGTATGAATTTAGGATCTATAATTAAACTAGTGTTTTTGTTTTAGCTTGCTTCTAATAAAATCTACTTTATATTTTCTTACTGGTCATTGCTTATGGAGCCTATTATTTGATTTAAAGTCCAATTAAAACTCATAAATTTTCTTCCTGCGTCATTCTAAAGGCCATAAAGAGTTATATTTATAGGGTTACAGCTGTTTTCTATGTGATTATAACTAAATTGAAGTTAAGGAATTCCAGGAGGCTCTTAGAAAATTATATTTCTATAGAAAGTGTTAATAAAGTATCCACTATAATCTACAAACTGTAATTTATTTGGCAAAAGAGTTATCTAATTATTTTCCATTATTGTTGATGAGTCACCTATGTATTTATTTATCAAATTAAATTAAATTTAAATTAAAATATTTTCTTATTAATATATATTATAAGTTGAATTGAATATTTTATAAAAAAGTTACTTAAATTAACCAAAATTTGATTGCCACTGATTTAGCATTAAGAATCTAATCCAATTGCGACTAAAGTTGCTTAGTCAAATATCTATGAGCACGAAAACTAAGGTGTATTAGATATGATATTAATAAATGGAGATCCCAAGTCAATAGAGAGCTATGGAGATGTGGCACTTAATTTTGCATCAAGGACAGCAATATTTTGATAACTGCATTAATAAAATATATTCCTTTTATCATTTTAGTTTTTGCAAACACATGTATTACTTAAAACATCTAATTATCTTGTTTCATTATAGCAAGTCTTACATTATTAATTTAAAATCGATGATTAATCACATAGTTAACAGGTGGGGTAACAGGCATTGCATTATAGGCTCAAATAATTTTAGCATGAATCGCATGTGAGCTAAATATTATTACTTTAAAACCCATTTGGGCAAAGACTAACACAACTTTTGTTGTAGAGAAAGCTATTAGGGTAGCAACTCAAACAATTGTTTGAATCCTTTCCATCACAGCTTGCACAACTAATATCGCATGACTAACACAACTATGAGATTTAATTAGGATATTGGTTTTTATTACATGATTGTACACACTGCTTTGTAGCTTACTAATAGTATAAGCCAGGATTACAGGTTAAGCAATTATTAGAGCTAAGTCCATCACAAGTTTTACAGGTTGAATGACAAGTGCATATATTTTAGTCAGTATCAATATATGAGCCAGGATTACAGGATAAGCAATTGTTAGAGTTAGGACCATTACAAGTTTTACAGGTTGAATCACAAGAGCAACTTTTTGTCTGTGGATTATAATATATGCCAGGATTACAGGATAAGCAATCATTAGAGCTAAGACCATTACAAGTTTTACAGGTTGAATGACAAGTGCAACTATTTGTACTTACATCATAATATATGCCAGGATTACAGGATAAGCAATTATTAGAGCTAGGACCAGAACAAGTTTTACAGGTTGAATCACAAGTGCAACTTTTTGTATTTGGATTATAATATATGCCAGGATTACAGGATAAGCAATTATTAGAGCTAAGACCATCACAAGTTTTACAGGTTGAATGACAAGTGCAAATTTTTTAGATTGTATCAATATATGAGCCAGGATTACAGGATAAGCAATTATTAGAGCTAGGACCATCACAACTTGCACAGTTATTATCACATAGTTAACATATTTGCTATTAATTTGCAAATTAATTACTATTACAAGAGCTTACACACTGGTTTATAGCTTGCTAATAATAAAACCCAGAAGAACATTATAAGCATATTTAATTTTTATCGCATTTGTCACAATTTATTTGACACTTTTAATATTAAATAAAGTAAATATTTTTTTTTTTAAAGAGAGAATTCATATTTAAAAAATTTAAAGAAAAGTTATTTGTTATTTTTAACTAAATATTTTTTTAACATTTAAATTAATAATTTTTTATGCCTCTCTCTATTAACAAATTTAATTATTAATTTTACAAATTGTACAGCTAGATTTATTTGTTTGAAATAAATTTGATATTATTACCCAAGGTTAATATTCAATGGAGTCAATTTAATAGTTATACTATCAACATTTTACTAATCATAAAACTAGTCAAATAAAGAATTGAAATAATTATTTGAATTAATAGTTTATTGGAAAGTACTGCTAATATATATTTGATTATTTATTTCAATTTTGGAAGATATTAAGCCACTCTAACGAGGAAATTATGCCCTGATTGTAAATGAAAACTCAATGGAATATATCTTTCTAGCCCTAATTAATTTTTTTTAAAATTTAATTAAATATTAAAATATCAAATTAAAGTATTAAAAATAATTAATTGTGAATTTTCTTTTTGGTTTTAAAATCAAATTAATGCAAGGAATGTAAATAAGAGATTAAAAAAAGAATTATATATATATTCCTAAAACATATTATGTTTTGTTAATAACTTGTTTTACGGGTTTTAGGGAGTATATTTTATTGTTATTTGATTATTTTAAGTACAACTATTCCCTGATAAGTAATATGTTTGATCTTAGGTAAAATAACTTGAATTTAAGCAATTAGTGTCTGAGAAGTAATTTTTAAGGCTGTCTATATCAGATTGAATTGGAGGGTAAACATAGTTAATTAGGCATTAACTAACTTTAGTTTGTAAAAAATGATTTAATGATAAATTTATAATAGAAAATAAGTTTACAATTAAGATTAAAATGCCCAGAATTAGTTAACAAACCTCCACAATCTTAACTTTATCCGGCATACAAGCGTTTTAAGACTGTTTAATTAATTATAAAATTATTAAATCCTTTTTTACATAATTTATTAATAAAAAATTTTACTTTGTAAAATAAAGAAGATTCCTATTCTGATTTTCTAAGTTTTCATTTTTTATTCCATTTACCTTTCGGAGATTTAGAGTAATAATTGTTTGTCATTAATTACATATTATAAAATAAATTGATAGCGTATGCTTTTTATAAGTATGCTATTCTAACATTAGTTATCAAATAAGTTAGTAAAAGATAAATTAATTCTATTTGAATTTATTTATAATACCTTAGATTCTAATTAGGGGGGAGGGAGGGGAGAGCGATATAAGCGTATTTATTTATTACATCCATTTTTTGACTCTATTAAAATTAAAATTATTATATATATAATAAAATCAGTATGTCATCTCCCCTCTAAAATTGTTTTTAGAAGCAAAAATCTTAAATATAACCATTTTATTAAATGAAATAGATTTTATAAATGCTTGAGATTCAGAGATGAATCTCAATATTTTAAGGTTAAAATCAATGTGAAAGCTTTAAAACTCTGGCTATTATTTTTTAATTCAAGAGTAATTTATTTCAGATTAAGAGTTTAACAGATTTACACCAAAACCAATATTAAATTTTTAGCTTATATAGATCCAATCCTTAATCAATAAATAAAATAGTAAATTAGCTTAACTAATAATTAAAAGTATCCCTTGCTTTTTAATTAGTGGGATTCGGCATGCTTTTAAACTAATACACAAACCTTTTCTATAATCTGTAATTTATATTAATGCTCTAAATTGTTCTTATTAATTGCTTTTATTTTTAAATATAAATTTATTTTTTTTTTGCTCTTTAATAGCAATAATTATTTTTTAAGCCTTTACGAAAAATCATATGCTTAAAATTGTTACAAACTAGCAAATAAATTAAAGCTCTTTATCGGCTGCGTATTTATTTAATTCATAATATCTCTTATTTTTAAGAAATTAATTTTGGTGAAGGATTCTATTATTATTAAGTAGAGTTAGATTGTTACAAATGATAATTAATCAATCTGATTAATTCTTAAAGCACAATAAGCTTTTAATTTTTGAAAAATAAACCAGTATCTATATCATAATAAATAAATTCATTTAATAGTTTCATTCAATTTTAAAAATAATCTTATATTTAAAATCTTGATTGAATAATCTATTATGAATATTTAACAAAATTATTAAAATATATTATTTATTCTTTTTATTTTTAATGTTACTACTAATATTTTTAAGTTAAATTTCCAATCATAGCTTTTTTAGATTTAAAAAATATATAATTTCTATAAAATCTAAAGAATTATTAAAAAATGAATTTAAGTAAATAAAGCACATTTCTATCTATCTATATCTATCTAATAGTAATAGAAATATAAATATTTAAAAATTTTCCTAAATCTATTTAAAAACTGTAAAAAAAAGAGAAAAGTTTTCTTTATATTGGTACATTTACTTTTTTATAAAAGATGCATAAAATGAATGTTTACAAATAAATACAAAGAATTCTTCTTCGCATAAATGAAAATCATAAAACTTTATTTACATCCCATTCTTAATAAACACCCTCTACATGAACGTATCACATCCGCAACCGTAAAAGTTGGAGATTCAAAAATGAAGTTAAATTGTTTTAGTTATCACTAACAGTGAACTTTAAGCTATTTATTATTTTTTTCTAACTTTAAAGCTTGAAATTAACATAAAATTGAATCCAACTTATATCTAAATAAGAATAATTTATTTGATATAATCAATATCTAAAATTTAAAGAATAAAATATTTTTTATTTATTAATAATTTATTCATCTACAATTTCATCTTCATTGATATTTACATACTAATATATACTAATAACATATTCCATGAGAACCATGATATTGCGGCTACTATAAACCAACTTATTACTTTTTCTAAATTTTACCTTAAAATTAATATCTTTGATTAAATTTTAATCAATGTATTTTAAAATTCATATTCTAACTATAGCTTAGTAAAATAGATATCGCATTTCCTCAAGAGATCAGATCCGAATGTCCGAGAATGTTATTTTTTTCAGATAATTTATTTCTTTTTTAAATTTATAATTTTTCACCTTAATTTGAAGGCGGTGAAATGGATATAATACATAATCTAATTATTTACTTTTTTAAATAAATATTAAATAACATTTAGACATTTTATTTTTTCTAATTATAAATTTTATTGTTTTTTAATAGTTTTTATGACATTCTAGATCTATTGAAAAATAATCCTATCATAATTATACTAATTAGTATCTAATAATTAATTTCTGTGGGATATAATTAATTAAATTGTTTATCTATTTTATTAACTTACAATTTTTTATTTGGCAACACTCAATCATAATAATCAATATTTAATTAATCTAGTTATTTTTGAGGCTTTACCTTTTTAATATAGAGAAAATATCCAATAAACTCTTAATTCAACAGAATTTATTAAGTATCTAAGAAATTAATTAATTATCTATTTCTTTTCATCTCCTCCACTATTTTATGTTATTTATTCTAAAGTAAAAATATAAGATCTGATATAATAATGATAAAATATTTTTTTTTTGAAGCTAAATATCTATATATCTATGTATTAAATTCTATCAAAAATAAAAGAAAATTATTTTTAAGATTAAATAATCATAAAAGATAATAGGATTTAATTAAAAATCTTGTTAATTCTAAATAAAAAATTGATAGTATAAAATGGTATAAAAATAAAATAGAATTTTTAACTCATTTTAATATTTTCGATATTAATTTTATTTTAAAACTTAAAAATAAATATAATAAATTTATTTAAAATAATTATTTTCAAAATAAATAAATATAATATACATCTTTTGATTAAGTACAAATAAAAAGAGCGGTTCCTGGTTTTAAAATTCCGCTGATAGATGAATATTGAATTTCATCTCAAAAACAAAGGAATAAGTTGATGATATTTGAAACTCTACAGTAATTATTTTAAATTAAATATAATAATAGAATTACACTAAAAGAAAAATTTAAAAGGTGTTTTTTTAAAGTAAAAAACAAAAAACATAAAAATACAAATATCGCTCAAACATCTATATTAAGTATTGTTTATTTTAAATCAAATAAATTATATAGTTTAACATAAATACTTTTGGGTTGATTGCATTTAATGTATTTTTGAATCAACTAGATCATAAAAAATGATTTTATTAATTCTATGAATACCATTTCTGTTAAAAAGGATACTATAAATAGGATTATAAACTAATTTGACTCACTTGGAGTTTTATTACTAGACACTGCTAAAATAGCATAGTAATAAAGTAAACTTATAACTATTTGCAAAATTAGAGATACGACTTTACCTATTGAACCCATTTTGAATGTAAGTATAATTCCAAAAAATACAATTTTCATTAATGAGCTGTTAATTATGGCTATTACTACCTGCTAAATGAGCAAATTGTAACCTTAGAATAATATTGAAATAACTAATGTGTGTATAGTTTTTAAGTAAAGCAGAGTGAATCTTAATGGTCTTGAAAGGACATTATCAGAAATGTAAATAATACTAAAAAATTAATGTAAAATTGCTACCTTTTTTGATTTGGGAAGTTATAAGTAAACATCGATTTTTTAAATTTCTTCTTCAGTTTAAACCTCTTTGATTTATGTTTATGAGTTTTTTTGAGCTTCCATTCTATCAATACTTTAACAGCTTAATTATTATTTAATTACTTGTTATTAATTAGATTCAGCCTTCTCTTAGTTCATTTCAATATTTTGTTCTTAAAATAGCTTTTAGTTTCTATGGGTTTGAAAAGTTTATAGGCTAAAATTTTTTTATCTTTTTCTTTTTCTATTACCTAAATTTTAATCAAATTGTGATGAAATCTATTCGTTTTACTACATTTCGCGCTAGACATTTTCATCACTTTTAAACTAATGAACAATAAGAAAGTGCTAGAATGCATCATTATTTATTATTTAGGAAGTTTTGCAATTATTTAAGTTATTTTCATCAATATGTTATTATTGTATTATCTACTCTTATTACTATTAGTTAATTGGTTCTTCAATATGAATTTTTGTGTAATCTTTTTTTATTGAGTATTTATCTAATAATTTTCCAATTATAAATAAAAAAATTTAAGCCAGTGTGAACACCATCAATAGCCAAAATACTATATACATATAAAAGTTATCAAAGCCTGCTATGCTTTATAACCCTTATTTTCCAAATACCGTCTACAAATTTTAATTTTTTAAGAACAAGTCATCAATATCTTCAATGATAGTTGTTGGTTTTTAGGATTCACACAAGCAGATGTAATTATTTTAAGTATTCTTATGGATGTTGCAATTTGATTTGCTCCATTAAAGATTACTCTATTAAAGACATGTCATATTATATAACATACTAGAATAAGTATTATTAAACTTATAAATAATAGTAGACTGGTTTAAGGTTGTATAAGAAGAAGAAGAAGTATTATAAATCTATGGTGTTATTACTTCATTCTTAGAGTAAGTGAAATTTTAACTAATATTTTTGAATTACTATGTGTACGCCTAGAATTCTGAAGTATTTTCATAAATATTCTTCTTATAATTATTTGTTGAAATACTATATATTCTAGTTTAATTTTCAGAATTGTAGTCATCCATACTTAGAACGTATTTATATAGGTTTTTCTATGTTACTTTATCTGATAAAAGATTGGACAAGTCGCCATTTAGAATAATTTGTCCTTAGTTTGGTAAACTAATATTACTAAGCAAGTTTCCAATTTAACTTGATATTTTATCGTAGGATTAAAAATCTTCCTATGAATTCTTACTAGACAAAGTAACGCTTGAGTTTAAAATTTTAAAAGAATCTACGATATTTTAAATATGAATATCGTTGTTTTGTTGTAAATGACTAAGATTACTATTTTGTATGCTTGAATTGGTATTTTGGAGTATTGTTTACACTTAACCAAATATATTATTTTTTTATATGGTAAAGTTGTTTTATTATGATGAGCTAAAGATTAAATATGATAACTAAGCAGTTACTTTGTTCGCAAATG